TTGGACTTCGGGAGGAAAGGAGCAGTGATCGAGGTGCTCAGCAGAGACAGGACCGGAGTGCGGTCCCTGGCAGAGGTCCGAGGGGAGACCCGAGGGGTCGAGTTGACCTCGTGAAGTTCGGTGGATCGCTGCTAGCCAGCAGCGTTTTAGGTGCTCTTCACATTTGAATGGCATGGGGTTTGGAGGAAAATTTCATGAAAAAGAAGAGTCTCTCATTCAGACAGAAGCCTGGACTTTGGGCTTTTAAAAGGAGATTAAGGTGATGAGCTGCAGTGGTGCTCAGGCCTGGAATCAGTGCCCGGTGGCAGTGGGCAGCCTGGGCGCTGGTTACCTCGCGTTGAGGGAGGGCCAGCCAGAGAACCCTGTGCATTCTCAGAAACGCTGTGTTCCTCTGAAGACCCAGCCCCCGCCTCTGAGCAGCTGAGAACATCTCTTAAATCTACTTTGATTTCTGAAAAATAAGGTGGCTGGCTCGTCGATATTTTTCTTGAATCAGAGAAGGGAAATGGCATCATGAAGGCAGGCCAATCCGGTGGTGGGGCTGGGTGGCCTCTTACTGAGAGACTTAAAGCCCAGTTAGTAGCATAATTGTTCCTCAGCTTTTCTGGAACCTGGGGGCCCTGCCCTTGGGCTCTTTTGATGTTCCGTGATTGTTTGACAGGGACAGTGTGGTGCCTGGCAGATGGGAGGCACTTGGGTGTTTGTTGAATGAATGAACCAATAAGTAGTAGAGAGAGCCTGGAATTGGTAGCTGGCCACACCTGAGTTTGAGTCGGGCGCATGCCAGCTTTGTGACTTTAGGCACTTCTGAGCCTCAGTTACCTCCTCTGTAAAATGCAGACAAAGCCAGCTTTGTAGGGCTGTCGTGGCATCCGGCATCTGGGTGGGGAGAGAGTGCTATAGACATATTGTAAACTAAAGCAAGTTGGGTTGGATTTGGTCTGAGTACTGCACCACGTTCCCATGGGGTGGCTGGGGACTCGGGGTGGTCACGGGGCCGGCTGTGCCTCAAAACTCAGGGACAGTGGCTTTCTCTCTGTTCCCTTCCCAGGTCACTAATAACAACACGTCGCGGCACCTGAAAGGCTCCCACCCCGTTGACTATGAGCTCACCTACTTCCTGGAAGCTGCCCTGCAGAGCGCTTACGTGACAAACCTGAAGAAGGGGTAGGTCGCCGGCCGCCGAGTGGGACGCAGAAGTTTCTCTCTGACGGCGGTGGCGTTTAGTCTGGCCTCCCTCTTCTCTGTGTGTGTGCTCTGGAGGGATCCGTGGGGCTGCTTGCTCACATTTGTCACATCAAGCTGTTCAGAGTGGGGAAGGGCCGAGATTCAGGAGCAATAAAGCCTGCACATGCTTCTGGGAGAGCCGGGCCTCCGTAGAAGGGAGAGAGCGAAGGACTGTGCGCTGGGCAGCGGGTGCCCGTCTGTATCGTTCACTGGCACCTCAGGTGTTGGGTAAAGTCATTTTCCTTTCTTGAACCTCAGTCTCCCCAAAAATGAAACGGGGAAGTTGGTTCCTGCTCGTTCCAGCTTTCAAGGGGCAGTGAGATGTGAGGGGGCATGTGGTGAACAGAAAGGCCTGGCATGGTTTTGGGGATGCTGCCGTCTGTCGATGAGGTGGCAGAAGGGGTGGTTCTGCGTTGCCCGCAGGGCCCTGGGAATGCTCGCCTGCTTTAGCCCCAGAGCGTGGTGCCCCTGCCCTCCTCAGCCTTTGTGCCCTCCCTGCGTGAAGAGCGCGGTGGGTGCTCCCCGGGTGGGCTGGGGCCGTGGTGTGGTGCCAGGCCCAGAGGGTGCTTCACGGGGTGTGCTGGGTGGTGATGAGGGAGGGAGGAGCTATAGAGTCAGGAGGACGTGCTGCAGGCAACTGTGGCTCTTTGGGGTTCTGCAGGGGTCAGCCTGCCTGCGGGAATGCCAGCACCAGCCAGAGACTCACAGGCGGGGGCTGAGGCGGGGCTCCTGCACGGCCCTGCAGCAGAGACTGTGTGCCCCATCCGCTCCCCCCCACCCCATGCATCATGACTCCCCTCCGCAGACGCTGGCCTGGGCTGTGAGGACACCACGGCCAGCCCCACGGAGCTCTCTCTGCTCTGACTGGCTGGAGCCCTTGGAAGCCCCTATTTTTTTTCGTATGTTTTATTTCCTTTGTTTTATTTTGTATGTTTTATTTCACTTTGTTCGTTTTTTTATTTTAACTTTTTTCCAATAGGCGGTTCTTATATGATACCATGCTTGAACTTTACACCTTCTGCTTTTCTTTCTTTTTTTCTTTTCTTTTTTTTTTAATTTCTCAAGTGCTAAGGGAGGCAGCGGTGTCCCCATGTGCACCAGGGGCCCAGAGAGCAGTGGCAGCCCAAGGGTGGGTGTGGTCCTGTGGCCCCCCGACGTGGGTCTGGGGGGCATCGCAAGGACACCGGGGAACACACTGGCTCTGCTCCAGCTCCACCTTCTGCTTTTTTGGTCTTTTTTCCGTTGCTGAGCTTCGGTTTCAGAGAGACGGTGGCCCAGAGGGCTGGTTCCTGTTTTTGCTGCCCAGGTGGCTGGGCCTGGCTGCCCCACTCCAGCTGGAGACTGCATTGCCCCTCCCCCGGGGGCTCTCTAGTCAGCAGTGGCAGCTCAGGGACAATGGGGGACAAGAAGAGATGCTACCCTCAGCCCCTATCTGCAGAGATTTGGGAGAAGGGGCTGCTGAACCTCTGCAACCTGTTTTTGCAAATAAAGTTTTATTGGAACATAGCCACACCCATTGTTTACATATTTTCTCACCCACAGAGCTGAGCAGTTGAGATTGAGACCCTGTAATGCAAAGCCTAAAATATTTACCCTCTGGCTCTTTATAGAAAAGAGTTTGCAGAGTGACGCCTGCTCTGCGTTTAGGAAGCCCTCGCTCCCGGGGCCTCTTATAGAAGAGGTGTCCTTCTCCTTCTGCCTGGGAGCCCCGTAGAGTCAATTTTGTGGGAGGGGACAGTTCTTATTTCAGTGTTCTGTCCCGTTCGTTCGTTCGTTCATTCATTCATTCAACAAATATTCATTACACTGATACATGGCACTTATTAAGTGCTGAATTTGTTCCAGGTGCTTAAGTGCTTTGCTTGCATGTATATTTAATTCTCCCAGCAGTCCCCTGAGGTAGGTGCTGTTATTAGCATCCCCGTTTTACAGGTGGGAAGCCGAGGCACAGAGAACATAAATGACGGTCGTGTGTGCAGCCAGGATTATGTATGCAGTTCCCATCTGACACTCTTAACCACTAGGCTACCCTGTCTTCAGCAGAAGCCCTGGGGTGAATAAGACCCCGCTGCTCACAGCCTAGCATTTGTTCCCCTGAGTGTGCTCAAGCTTGGTAGGTGTGGTCCCAGCTTCTGGTTCAAAGAGTTTGGTGGGCGCCCTCACCGTCTAGAGGACTTCAGGACAGGACCTGGGAGATGGAAGCCAGCAATGTCCCTGAGCGAGTTCCTCTGTACCCTCCATCATTCCTCCAGCTCTGCTTCCTCCCCTCCAACAGGGAGCTTCTGTGTGAGGGTCCCAGAAGAGGGAGGGAATGAAAAGATACCTTGAGCACCGGAGGCATTACCGTTAACACCCTCTCTGCTGAGGTCCACCCCTCAGGGCTGCCTGCTTCCCTTCCCCACATTGCGTTTTCTGCAGGCGTGATGAGGTTAAGGTGAACGTCAGGGTGGCCAGGAGGGCAGTGGGGAGAAGACCAGCAAGTTCCAAGCACCTTCTGTGTGCCAGGCAGACCCCGTGATCTGCACAAGGTCGTGTGACCCTACTTCACTTGCGAGGGGACAAAGGCTCAAAGAGGTTGGGTAGCTTGCCTGACCTCACTCACTGGGATTTTAACTTCAATCTGAGTGGCCTGGAAAGCCATGCCCTTTCCAGTCTGGAGTGAGGAGGGGCAGCCTGGGCAGCCTGTGGGGTGTGGGGGAGAAGGACGGGAGGGCCTGATGAGGGTTCCAGTGTCTGGGCTGATTCTTGGTATGCTGACCGGGGCTCTCACTGCCTCTCAGGCCCTGAGTCTCCATTCCCCAAGGGGGTGGCTCCTCTTCCTTTTGCTGGTCCCACACCCTCTTCGGAGTGAGCCGTTTCCTCCCCTGCTGTGTGTGCCTGTGTGCGTGCACGTGTGCGTGTGTGTGTTGCCAGCCGTGGGCAGAGGCATTAACCAGCCATCACCCTCCAGGAAATCCCAAGTAATTTCAGTTACTCTTCTGTTCCTGTCACTCTGCTCCCCTCCTTTCAAACTCTTTTCCTCCTGAAGCACAAACTAAGTCCTTAGAATCAGGATGCTGACTCCTCCCGCCTCCCCTCCCATCCTCTGGCGCCTCCCTAATAAAGAGGAATGGAAATTGACTCATCATTTCTTTCCAAGCGAACAGCCCAAACTGTTGGTTTCCTGGAGCCACATCCCACTCAGAGGCGGCCCAGGGTGTGACAGATATCTAAAGCAGAGGTCCCAGCCCTGTGCCCAGCTGGGCTTTCATTATTTCTTCACACCTTTCTTCTCAATAGTAGCTAATACTTGTTCAGTACTTACTGCCTGCCAGGCAGCGTGCCGTGAAGTGGGCACTAATAAATCCCCATTTTGCTGAAGAAAGGAGGTGAAGCCACAGGGCCAGCAGGTGGTGTTGCCGGCAGATCTGGTGCTGGCCGGGGTCTGTGGAGGCCTGTCCTTTGTGTGAGTGGCATCCCTGGCCTCCACCTGTTAGACACCAGAACCTGCCCCACCCCAAAGTGTAACAACCAAAATGTCTCCAGACACTGACAGATGTCCTGGGGTGGAGGTGGGGGGACAAGGTCACCCCCGGTTGAGAGCCAGTGTCTTAGCCTAAGGTGTGAGAAGCGGAATGTCAGGGGGAGATTGGGACCCAGACACCCACACTGAGTCTTCTCCTCCAGGGCAGCTCTGGAAAGTCCCTTAAAGGGCTCCAGGCCGGTGTGGCTTCGTGGTTGAGCATCGACCTATGAACCAGGAGGTCAGGGTTCAATTCCCAGTCAGGGCACATGCCCGGGTTGTGGGCTCTATCCCCAGTGTGGGGCGTGCAGGAGGCAGCCAATCAATGATCCTCTCATCATTGATGTTTCTATCTCTCTCTCCCTCTGAAATCAATAAAAAATATATATTTAAAAAAAAACAACACACTTTTTAAAAAAATATTTTTTTTTATTAATTTTTTTACAGAGAGGAAGGGAGAGGGATAGAGAGTTAGAAACATCGATCAGCTGCCTCCTGCACACTCCCTACTGGGGATGTGCCAGCAACCAAGGTATATGCCTTGACCGGAATCAAACCTGGGACCCTTGAGTCCGCAGGCTGACGCTCTATCCACTGAGCCAAATTGGTTAGGGCCACACACACTTTGTTAAAAAAAAAAAAAAAAAAAAGGCAGGGGGGATGTTCCAGGCCATTTCCTGCTGGTTATATTCA